TGGATGGCTGGCTGTGTCTGCTTCTCCTTTTGGCCACCTTATTTAGTCACTCCAGAAGCATCCTCCATGGTGCTCTCTGGTACTTCATCCTTTGAATGGTCTATCACGATTGGTTTTTCAACCAGAAATGTTTGTTCAGCCATGAAGGCTTCGAACATTTCTTCCTCAACCATTTCTTTCTTTTGGCCTAAGCCAACTTTCGTCTCTGCCTCGCTGTCACTCTCCATCAATGCCTTCTCCAATCCCGCTAAACTGGACTTTTCTCTAGCTTTTAGTTCAGAGTGAACTTTGGCCAACTGTTCTCTGCTGCAACCCATTTTGCCTTGTAGAGTTGGTTTTGGAGTATGGTCTGACTTTGGATTCTTCTTTCCTTCTGTCTGTACCAATGAAGAACTCTCTCCATTCTCTTTCAGGTCTCGCTGGTACTGAGTGTACCTACGCTGAATTTTTCTCCTTTGTGATCTAGAAATCATGAGGACCATATCTGGTTCCTTTGTTTTTGCTTGCTTAAGCAAGACCCAATTGTTTGGAACCACCAAAGGAGGTTTGACCATCCTACCTTGGTTTCCAGTAACCTCTCTCTGGGTAGACACCTCCCTAGGTTTGTTCTGCATTACAAACCAGTCTGGGACCCCAGGTACCCACGAACCTACTGACCCTGCCGTTGAACTACTTCCTTCTTCCTTCGAAGCCTTCCTCGAAGCTAGCTGCGAAGGCCACTGCTTGGTCCTGACTTCATGCTTTAGGCCTAACTCCGGCCTTCGATGAAGGTGTCCACTTTCTGCCTTGTGTGAGGCTGGTCTAGAGGACTAATCTCTGGCTTTGATCCCATAAACTGAACTTCTCTCCAATCTCCTCCTAGAATGACTGCTCTCCATTCTGTAATAATTAGCTGGCCTGGATTCATGTAAAGGCTTCTTGCATTTGAAATGCATCCTCTCAACTGTTGGTTCAACCCTCAATGGCTGCTGCCTGACACCAGATGGATATGGCCTTTTATTGTAAGCATTGGTTGGTTTAGGATGTCTCTGCACATCCTTGTAGTATTGCTTCCCATCAATCGGGAGTCTTTTCAACCATTTGTGGCTTAGTCTGCACCTAGGACACATCCTCTGCATTACAGCTGCTTCTAAGCAATCGTCATCCAGTGCTTCTTCCTCAGAGCCTTCCCTCTGGTGTGAGAAACCATGCCCAATAGCTGGTAGATTTCCAGTGTCTTTCTTGATAGCTATCTAGTTGGCCATATGCATCTGCACATTGACTTCTTCCAATTCTTTCAAAGACAGGTTCTGAAAATCCGGCATAATGACATTGGCTGCCACCTCTCCAATTTCTGAAAATGGATTATTGTCGATCTCCATGGCCTTTTCAGCTTTGGCTGAGAATTTCAAACTTCTTTTCCGAATTTGTTCTTGGATCATGTCTCGAAAAACAACACAGTTTTAGGTCGAGTGAGACCAAGAATTATGCCATTTACAATATACTTTCCCTTTCAGTTCATCAAGAGATGAAATTTTAACTCCTTTTGGTAACTTAAGGAAGTTGGTCGCAAGCAAATGATCAAAGATGTCATCTGCCTTAGTTAAATCGAAAGAGTATTTCCTGTGAAGGTCTTTTTTTTTTAAACTGCTGGTCAATTGTTGTATCATTATGAATTAATGCTTCACAAATCACAGGTTCTTTCCCCACAATCTCTGTTGCATCAATCTCATGATCTTTGTAGCTTGTCTTGTATGATGCATTATTTCGATCTTGCTCCTCTTCTAGTAATGTTTCATACCTAGATACTTTGTAAGTCAATTCCACTAAGTCCTTGAACTCTGTTGAGTCAAACTTCTTTCGAAACCTAAACTCTAAGCCATTTTGAGCCAATCTTACGAATTTCGGCTCTGGCAAAATGACTCTATATTTCTTTCGAGCCCTTTTAAATCTGGCAATAAACTGAGTAGCCTTCTCTTCAGGCCTTTGACTCAACCTTGCCAGATCTTCCATGGAAACCTCTGGCTTCGATTGGAAGAATTGGGCATGAAATGCCTCTTCCATTTGTTGCCAAGTTTAGATTGAGCCAGGTGTAAGGTTAATGTACCATACAAATGCTCCCTCAGTTAGAGAGTTTGGGAACAGTCTCAGCTTCATATAGTCATTATTAGTGAATTCACCGCATTGAGCAGCAAACCTAGCGATATGCTCTACTGTTGACTGGTTTCCATTCCCATAAAAAAAGGGCGAAATCTGGTATCCTGAAACCTCTTGGGTATTTATGTACCCTATCTACCCATTCTAGGTATGATTTTTTGTATACAGGAGTCTGGACCCCCCGAGCCATTGGTCCACACATCTCCCTAACGATGTTAGCAATTTGATCCCTAGGGACCATATTTTGTGCTTGCTGAACCACTACTGGAGGAACAAACACAGGATTTGGTGGGTAAACTTGTGCCTGTGGTCCTCTTGGTCCATAAGGTGGTATATTTGGGGCTGGTTATTCCTGTGGTGCAGGTTGCTATTGGGGGTGTGGGTAACCCCTTTGAGCCTGTCCTGCTAAAGGACCTGTGAAAGGTGCTGGAACTGGTGTTGTGTCTCTTCCATTTGTAGGAAAACCTTCCAACCCCCAGGTATAAATTCGAATAAGGGATTAGTGAAACCCCTTGTGCCAGGTATGGCTTCGAACATGGGATTTGGAACCATTCTTACGCCATTTTCTTGTACTGGGCCAGTTCCACCAAATTGCATGGCTTCACTGTTAAGTACTGAGGCATTTACTCTGATGAATAGACTCAGAATAGGTTCGTACCAAGACTGAGGTGATGGTCTTTCATAGTTCTGATTACTAGTTTGACCATTAGAATGTCCATTAACTTGCATAGGCTGTTTATCTCTAGCCAATCTTTGCTGAGGGACATTTAAAATTTCCTCCATGTGTCTTACGTTTGTTAGTTGGTGGTTATTCATTCGATCTAAAAAGGATGTTGCCCACCTTTCCATTGTGTTCATTAATTGCTGTCCCATTACATCTATTAAGCCACCCCATAGATTCATTGGCTGAGTAGATGGAACAGTGGATGGTCCAATTCCTTGGTCTCGTCCAATATTACGAACATATGGTATTTGTTCTGAAGTACTGGTCTGTTGGACCATAGGTTTTGATAAAATGAGAGTTTTCACAGGATGTGTTATCACGTTATCCTTTGGATTAGGTATCTCTACCTCTCCTTCCACGCCTTCTTCCAAGCGTTCATTTTCTCCTTGTCTTCTACGTCTAGCCATTTCAATTTAGTCCCACTGGGCGTGCCAAAAATATATGTTAGCTTTTGGGCTTTCGAAGGTTATTATTGTAATTGCAGGCGTGTCAGCAATGATCAATCATTCCTTACAGAAATTTAATTGCCAACCAATTATCAGACGATTGTGTTTTAGTTCTCTCAGCCTCAATGAAGAGGACTTTTACCGGTGGCATGATTTAGGAGAATTAAACAAAATACCAATCAAATAAAGAACAACTGAAGCTTTTCATCAGAATGAAAAAACTTACAATGATTCAAACTCAGCCTCGTAGAGGTTTTATAGCGACAATCTACTTGAAACTACTCCTATGAATGAAGTGCAGTGGAGAATTTAAAGTACTGGAATGTAAAGAACAGGACATGTAAAACTAAGTAAAGTAGAATAAGACTGATTTTCTAGATCTGAGTCTAGGGGTCCTTTTCTGGGGCCTTCTCTGCTATTTATACTGCTTAAGGATGGCCATCGAACTATATTTTCAACCGTCGAACTGCTCCTCCATGATCGCTGATTATGTTGCCTCAAGATTAGTTCCATTACGCCATCACTTGCAGTTAGGCTTCCCTCCTGAATTTGAATTCAAATGTGAGTAACCGATGATGCCACATCACTTTGTATCTCTCTGCTGATCCACTACTACTCAGATTTCGTAACAACCAATATTAACTGACACGTGTACGATCAAGATCGAAGATTTGAATAGTCTTCCCGTACGATCCTTACTTTGCCACGCGTCGAATTGTAATTGACTTGTACAAAATATGTAGCCAACAGAAACACTCTCTCAAATTTAACACAAGTATTGGCAGTTATCATAACTGTCAATTCATTAGGCAAAACCTCCCACATTTCCTCACAGCAAAATATTCCCCTCTCAGAGTAAAATATCCCTTCCTCTTACTATTTTTATAGAATCAAACACAGAAATTGGTATATTTGAGATGACCGAACGATTGTCCAAACACACAAATTTCTATGTTGGTTCTGCCAAAATGACATCTGACTATTGAAATACCATTATTATAATTAGGGGTCGTTTGACAATGACTTTTTTAGTTGATTTTTTGACTTTTTTAACTTTTTTAGGCTAAGACTTTTTTTTGTTCGTTTGACTTTTTTGTTTGACTTTTTGGCTTTGGAATGACAAATTATTTTTTTTTATCTTTTTGTGATTTTTGTGATTTTGTGATTTTGTGATTTTTTTTTATTCTTATGAAATTTTTTAGCTTGGAATGAAAACCAAACCGGGCTTATACTATTTATTGCTCAATTATAATAATAATAGTAATGTTATTATACTATTTGTCATTCATGATATTTTAATAACAATAACAATAATAATAACAAATAAAAAAATAAGGGCAAATTACATATACACCCCTCGAGGTTTGGCTAAATTACAGATATCCCTGAGGTTTCGGAAATTACATCCCGCCCCCTGAGGTTTGTATTTTCATAACAATTTGTCCCCTGAGGTTTATATTTCATAACAAATTACCCCCTAATTTCTTATACAAATATAGCATTCAGGGGGGAATTCGTAATTTCTCAAACCTCAGGGACATCTGTAATTTAGCCAAACCTCGAGGGGTGTATATGTAATTTGCCCAAAAAATAAATTAGCAGACCAAGTGTGAACCTGATCGGACCCGTACAACCCGCAGAGCAAGAAATGCAAGGGTCATGACAACCACGTGCTCTTAAAAAAAACGCACACACAAAAAAAAAAAAAAAAAAAAGCGCACAAACGACATCGAAAATACGGTGTGGTTTTCGAACCTATCCCCACGAAACCCACCCCTCTAACTCCTCTCTCTCGACTCGATTTTCAGCGAGGGTTTGATTGATGGTCTCTTGCTCTCTCGTCGCTCAGGTATTCATTCAATCTCTCTCTCTCTCTCTCTCTCTCTCTCTCTCTCTCTGTGTTTTACTTGTACTGTATGCCGTATTATCATTTTTATGTAAGCGATTGCAGCCCTTTCTGACTATTCTTTCTTTCTTTCTTGTTAAAATTGAGAAATTTTCATGGGTTTTTGATCGCCTAAATTTAGGGTTTTCACTGATTAGTTCGTATCTGAAATGGGTTCTTTTTCTCTGTTTTTCTTTTGCATTAAAAAAAAAGTAAAATTCTGAATGTTTTTGTTTTGTTGGATTTATGTTAAGAGATCTATGCATTAATTGTAGTAATCTGTATCTTTATTATATAATTGAAGAAGTTAAATTCGGATGGTTTGTCTGTCGCTTGCTTACCTGTTTTCAGTTTCTTAATAATATGTTAATTTGGCATCTTAATAGTTATGTTTATGTTTGTTGTTGTAAATGGTTTGTCCAGAATTTAATTAACTCGGATTTATGATTATCATTGAGAATCTTCTATGGGTTTTTAATTTCTAGGATAAGAATGTTGTCCGTGTTGGGTTTTGGATTTGAGCTTGCTCACCACTTACTTAAGTTGGGATTTAATGGGACTAGTGGGAAAGATGAATAGGGTGGATTATTATTATTATTATTTTTTTTTTAGCATTTATGGTGTAGTTAACTTGGAGTAATGAATGCAGGCTTTTATCGTGGGTAGGTCTATTTTTGCCTAAAATCTCACTCCGTTTGGTTTTGTTTTCAAAATCTGTTTTATGAAAAACTAATTTGGTGAAAAAATAATGAAAAATTCAAAAACACTTGTGAGTTTCATTTTTTTGATATTTATTTTCACCAAACTAGTTTTTAGTATCATCTTTCTGACTCTGTTATTAGATTCTGCACCTCTTATTGTTGTAGTCCCTCATATTGAGCCTTCGTTTGGGAAGAGCTAATTTAGCCTGACTTTTTGGCTACCTAGTTAAATTAGCTTCGTTTGAAAAGAACTTTTGGCTTTTTTTGGTTTAGATGTAACGGTTGTAAGAGAAAAAAGTGAAATAATTATGATTTGAATGTGACATTTTGTCTTATTAACTTATTTAGGTCTTGTTTGAAAACATGTTATTTTAGTAACTTTTTGACTAAAATATATAATTGACAAATGAGGCCTTAGCCTATTTTATCCTTTTGTGTTTATTTAGTCAATTTAGCTCTTGCCAAACGAGGCTTGAATAAGCAAACAGTTAAGCATCGATTATCTTGGTTAGCTACATGCTCAAATGTTGCATTTGGTTTGTCTTATCAGTGTAAATTTGTTTTCTTCCCCATGCACACCACGTGTGGGAAATTTGTTGTTATTTCTGTCACGACAGTACCATCTTTATAGCCACTCTGATTTACTGACATGGATGGACTTCTAATGCAGGTGTTTTTTGACAAGATGGTTGCTTAAAATTATGTTAATAAATAATAATTGCTTTGTAAATTATGGTTGGCAAGTTATACAAAAAGGAAACTCAAAAGAGATTTTATGAGGGAATGATATTGAATTAGCTTTCTTCCCCATGCACACCACATGCTGGACATTTGCTGTCATAACTGTCACAATATAAATGTCTTTATATCAACTCTTGTTTGCTGACATAAGACGATCTTCTCATGCAGGTCTCTATTTACAAGACGATTGCTTAAAATTCTGTTAGTAATTGCTTTTTGAATCATGGGTGGCGAGGATACATAAAAGGGAAAGTCATAGGTTTATGAGTGAATCATAGTGATATATACTTTTTGCATCAAAATGGAGGATGAGAATGGGCTTGAGCTTAGCTTGGGTCTATCTTGGTCCCGATCATCTGCTAAATCTAAGGATAACAATGATAACTCGTCAGAGACTAGGGCAGATGAAGGCGACAGAAGCAACAAGTTGATCAATGATTTCAAAAACTTTCTTGAAGGTGGCACTCGAAAACAAGAATCTAGCATGGGATCTCAGAGAAGTGATCCGGTAAAACCTGATGACAGCTTCTGTAATAACTTTTCCAACGCTGCTGCAGATGTTGATTCTTCTAAGAACTTGAATGGAAGAGGACTTTGGGTTGCAAATGATAGCAGGTGCAGGAGTGCTGAAGTTGAAGAGGAAAAGAGGCCTGAGGCTAGTAACAAACGGAAAAATTTGCTTGATGAGATGAACAATCAAAAGAAGCGTGAGAGAGAATCTCATAATACTGATTTACATGACAAATCAAGACCGTCACACATTTCCATAAATACAGATGATGGCTCAACTGCTGAAAATGAAGATGTGGCAGATTCTGAAGTTGATGGTTCAACTTCAAGGTTGGTTCCACACCATGACGATGGTGCGAAGAAGTACATCAGGGGTGCTGGACCTTCTGACGTCGCAAATGAGGGTCACACAGTTACTGATTCGAGTGTGGTGGATTTGCAAGGACAAAACAAGTTTACCATTTCATCTGAAAGGGAATTTAAGATTGGGCACATGCCCTATGTTTCGTTCCCGGCTCAATCAATAAATATCATGAATGTGCCTTACTCGCTACCTTTGAAGGAATCTAACTCTATTGGGATGCCCAGCACACCAAGTTACCCACTACCTGGCATGATGCAAGTAATGTCTGCTGCAAATGGTGATCGAGGTGGGATCCAACCTGTGATGCCTGGAAACTTACCGGTGATGTTTGGCTATTCTCCTGTCCACATTCCAGTGTTGGACAAGGATAACCCCCATGGTTCAGCTCATCCTCAACAGCTCCACCCATCCTATGTTGGCAGGGTTCTACCAAACTCAGATAAACAAAATGACGGGTTGAAGATTTCTCAAGGTTTTCTTTTCAGTCTTCAAATTCTTTTGTTCTCTATATATGTTGGTGATATGATGTGTGTGAGTTAAGTGCTAAAAGAAATCGGCTAAGAGAGTCAGTGTTAAAAGCTCAGGTCATGTAAGGGAAGGGTTAAATGCCAATGCCTCCCCCTTCATGCACCCACACTACCCCTAAACAGGAAAAACAAAGAGTAAAAACTACATACACACGCACACTCCTATCCCGAATCTTTAGATATTTCAATTACACAACAGCCAGATTCACACACACACACACACACACCCCTATCCTGAATCTTTAGATATTTCAATTTACCCAACGGCCAGATTCACATTTTCTTGTTTAAAAAATAAAATAAATAAAGATCCTCACTTTCCAAACTGTTACAAAAAGTTGAGCTCAATTTTAAGTGGCTTGCCTGTTATGAAAATTCAAGATTTTACTGGTTTCTTTATTTAAAATTATTGGGATTTAATTGAAAAAGTCTCCTATCATGTCCTTGTATATTTTAGGGTAAATTACAAATAAACTCCTGAGGTTTGTTTAAAATATAGATTGTCTCCTGTCGTTTGGAAAATTATAAATACCTTCTTGTTAGAATTTTTTATTTAATGGAATTAATTGAAAAAATAAAATTCGTAACTGTTCTTTTATACAATAATAAGATTACCTAAATTATTAATTGAAATAACTTTATGACATCATTACAAACTGTTAATTAACTTGATGATTTATTAATAAAGGGGGTCCTTTGTTATGAAATTAGAAACTTTAAGGGGCGAGATGTAATTTCCGAAGTCATAGGGGACAATTCGTATTTTAAACAAATTTTAGGGGATGTATTTGTAATTTACCTACCCTATATTTTATTTGTATTCTTTAAACAATAAGGGAAAAATATGAGAATAATAAGAGAAGCCCCACAATCTTGAATTAGCAAAATAAATATTTTTAGAAAACGTAAAATATTAGAACCAAAATGTGAATATACTTGCCACCCATTTCCTGCTAGGACCACATATCATTGCTGCAATATTGATGCAATGACTTATATACATGATTCTATTGTTCCTTGTGCCAAAATTTTAAAAATCCCTCTACTTGCTTACATTTCTCTTTTATGTTTCAATCTTAAGAAGTTCTCCAATGTTTGTTATTAGAAAATTTTCAAATTAGAAAAATAAGTTCAAGTATCGTTGAAATCTAGTTTAGGTTATTTTCTTTTCTTGTGAGGGTATGTGCTTGAGTGGATGCATCTAACCAACTGGACTTGGCTAATTAATTCCTGATGTCATATGGGATTTATTGTAAATATACGTTATAGGTATTCTATTGTTGATGGGACTTAAGGCTTAGTTTGGTTTGGTTTGGTTTGGTTAGGTATTTGAGAGGGGAGTTTTGGAACGGACTGTACGACCGAGCTACGATATCGCGGGTCGTGACAGACTTCACGGCGTCATGCCGTTCCCCCCACTGATGCGGTCTACTGGTCCATTTTGCACGGCGATGGGGATTGGCTGGGTAGGCATAGGCCATGGCCAGTCGGGAAGACCGGCCGGGCAGACATAGGCTGTGGCATGACTGAGTAGTGACTCGCTTACATTTGACAGAGCGGCACTGCTGTGTGGCGACCGAGTTAAAGTAACCCGGGCTAGACTATGGACGCGGTTAGGGCCGACACGCTTTTGACCGACCAGCCGAGATAAGTGGGCTTCGTGTGACCGAGAATAAAGGTAGGACGGGTGGAGGCCGGCATACCTCGCAACCGGTTAGCCTAATGAACCGGTCAATATCAGCTCGGCCATGAGCATCGCCCTTTGGCCCCTTTGCAAGGGACAGGCTGGCGATGCATAGCCCGGTTGTGTGCATGCGATGGCAACTCTCCACAAGTGATAGGCCGGTCGTGGTATTCTGGTCAAGTGTGCCACCTGGGCCAATGGCGTGAGGGAGAGAGGAAATTTGCTCCAGGCATGCGCCAATACCGTTGGACAGTTCTGCGTGTACTGGTGAGAGGACTAAGCCTTTACACGCGTAAGGTGGTGAGAGGCGAGCACTGCCACCTGTCCTGGGAAGGACAGCAGAGGTAGTGCGAGCATAATCTTGAGGCTGCATGGCCAGCCTTGAAATATGGAGGAGGACGAACGTTAGAGGTATGAAAAATTCACTCTATCACTAACACACTCACTCTTTCTCGGATAGCCTTCTTCTTCCTCCCGTGGTCTGACTTGATCGTCGGAGGGTTTATCCGGCACACCACCGCCGGGCAGCTCACCATTTCTGTGTTGCAGAGATAGACGTCGTCAAGAGAGGCTTGGAGTGCAAGGAGTACGGAAAGCAGAGGATATTTCGCTCCCGTACAATTGGCGCCGTCTGTGGGAAGTTCTTTGATACTCAAACCTTGTTTTTCAAGCTTCTTCAACCATCTCCATGGCCAACAACGACGAAACTCTACTGTCCGTCGATGGCATCACACTAGAGTCTGTCCGACGGAGAGAAGGCCCCCCGAATGTTCCAGCCATGGCGGGCCTAGAGACTTCTTCGCGAGGTGCGCAAGACAAACGCGGGAGGAGTACTGATCGCTCGCAGAGTCTAGAGGGCCGCCGACGCCGGGGGGAGTCCCATGCACAGCGCCTGGAGCACAAACTCAAGGACCAAGACGCCCTCATTCACAAGATGGCGGCGGAGATGGAGCTGCTGAAACGCCAGATTAAAGGGAAGGGTGTTGCTGGAGAGAGCAACCTCGGTGAGCGCACCCCGTCCCCTCGTTGTAGCAGTCGCCGCCAAGGGAGGACTCACTCTCTCTCCATCACCAGGAACTATGGGGTTGGAGATTCCGACCAAAGAGACGGCAGGTCCCTCTCTCGTGACAGCACTTACCGCCCCTCACGCGCGATGCCGACGTCGGGATCCTCTTTCTCCACACGTTCCAGGGACTTGAGGGATGTATTGGAGGAGAGGGCGCGCCGTCGGGAGGCTCGGAGAGTGCCGGCATTGCAGAGGTTGAGCGCTCCAGTTCGTTGTAGTGAGGAAGTGGCGATGCCAGCCCCCAAAGTGATAGCCCCTGCGCTGGTGGACAAAGAGCTAGCGCGACTTACAGCCACGCCGCTGTCTCCAGAGATTGAGAGTACACCACTCCCCGCCGGATTCCACCAGCCAAAGTTCACTTTGTACGACGGCAAGACGGATCCGTACATGCATGTGAGCCATTATCGGCAAGTAATGGCTGGCCACCGGCGCAACGACGCCTTGATGTGCCTCATATTCCCAGCAAGCTTGGGAGAGCTGGGTTTGAAGTGGTTCGAAAGGCTCCCGGAAGGGAGTATTGAGGGGTGACAGCAACTAGCGGAAGCCTTCGTCACCAGATTCAAAACCAACACACGAACGCCGAAGGAGTTCGACCATCTCCTGGGCGTTAAGATGGAGTCTGGATGTTCGTTGAAGGCATACAATGCGAAATATTGAGAAACTTACAATGAGATACTCGACTGCCCTACCAATCTGGCGATCACTCAATACAAACGGGGTCTCCCAGTCGGACATAGGCTGCGAGATTCACTTACGATGCATCAACCTACAACCATGGAGTCATTGATGCAGCGGATCAATGAGCACATTCGCGTGGAGGATGATGCCGCCTCCGCGACCGAGAAGGCTAATCCGGTCACGGCGGACAGAAGGGTGGCGGGGAAAGTTCACTCGGTTGGGCAGGAGGATAACCGCCCAAACAACCGGTCAAAAGATCAGCGCCATGGTTCAAACCGTGATGACAGAAACAAGGGCCGCCGAAACGACCGGGCTGACACTCCCCATGATGCAGCGGAGGATGCCAAAAGAAAATTAAAGGCACGGACTGGAATCACCACGGTCTTTAAAATCCCCATCTACCGCATTTTGAGCGAGATTCGAGGTGAACCCTTCGTCCGTTGGCCGGCCAAGTTGGGGAGTGCGCAAAGGGGCTTCAATTCAAAATATCGTTGCACATTTCATGAAGAACGGGGGCACCGAACAGAGGATTGCTTGCCGCTCAAACAACACTTAGAGGAGTTGGTGGCGGCGGGGCATTTTGACCAATACATAGATGGGGGCATCAAGGCCACGCCAGCGGACCAAGCCGAGCCAAACGGCCTGGCCGCCCTAGAAGCGCCCCCGCAAGGTGTAATCAACATCATCCACGGTATCATTGAACCGGCAAGGGTCTGCGAGCTTAGAGGGATGATCAAGAGAGCCGAGCACATGAGGGAAGTGCTCTCTGTCCAGCCCGCCGTAAGAAGGGGAAAGACCGAAGAGAGGGACATCCTTTCGTTCTCGACCAAAGATTTGGAAAGGGTTCAGATGCCGCACAACGATGCCTTAGTGGTGACTCTTCGCGTCAAAAACTTTGATATCAAGAGAGTCTTGATCGACCAGGGGAGTTCGGTCGAAATTATGTATTATGACGCGTTCAAACAAATGAAGTTAGAGGACAAGGACTTGGCCCCTGCAACGTCCCTTTTGGTCGGCTTCAACTCGCAGCCAAAATGGCCAATCGGAAAGATTATTTTGCCGGTCAAAGCGGGTTCAGTAGTGAAGCAGGTAGAATTCTGGGTGCTCAAGGTCTCATCCACCTACAACTTAATCTTGGGAAAGGGCTGGGTACACGCCATGCAAGCAGTTGCGTCTACCTTTCATCAAGTTATGCGCTTTTCGGCACCCACCGGACAAATAGAGGAAATTTGGGGAGACCAGGTGATGGCAAAACAATGCTTCGTTGCAGTAAATGGCAGCCGACCAGCCAAGGGGTTTGTCCAGATGATTGAGGGACCCGAGGGTAAGGAGGCTATGTTACACGGACTCTGGTGCGGATATTGGGTGCGGGTACGTATCTAGGGGTCGGGTACTTCAAAATTAAAAATTGAGGATACGTGGATACGGATCCAAACGAGGATACGGGTACGGGTACGGGTACGGGAATACGTTAAATATTTAATTTTTAAAATATATTTATTATATAAAGATAAGTT